GACAAAAAGGAAAAAAAAAAAGAATAGTCAAAATAATTGTGGTTGGTACAGTTGCTTTTTTAAAACTACAATCTTCAGGTGTAAGGTGGGGCGGTTTTATGATCAAATATGGTTAATTCTTATGTACTTGGGGTAAGGTAATTGGGCCAACATTTGTCATGGGATTCTTGTACTCTCAGTTTCTGGTTCCAGTAGGAGAATTTGGCCCAGTGTTTGACTTTGTATAAATACATGCAGAGAAAGGTATGCTTGCACTATTATGGGATGTGGTCAGACTCAGCTATTTCGTTCAACCTAGGGAGGAAGGGGCAAATTTTCTTGCATTTACTTTTTAGAATTGTTACAGGTGATTTATAGAAGTGGTTGATAATGTTAAAATAATACTGGCCTTGCCCTATTCATTAGGTTTATACAGTTTTGGGGGTGTAGGGGGTGGGCAGCTTGCCTGTGGGCAGATTTGAACCCTTGATCTTGGTGTTATGACACCATGCTGTAACCAACTGAGGCAACTGGCCAGCACTAGGTTTATCCAGCTTTTAAAATGATGAAGAGGAAATAAGGGTAACAGATTTCATTATGTTGCAGCTCAACCATACATGCCCCCATGGTACCAACCAGAATGACACAGGCATCTTTCAGGAACACTTCAGTGTTAATGATGCAGTACTTGTTAGCATCTGCATGTATAGTGGAATGTTTACAAAAAATGGCATGAAAAGATCACAATTGGATTACCTTTTAATACCCCCCTCCTCTAAAAATAGTTTATATATTTTTAAATTAGTGGATATGTGTGGCTTTCTTTTTTTCTAACATTCCCAGCAAATTTTTGCTGCTAAGACTGTCACTGTTAAAGTGAAAGTTACAGGGAAAATGTGATATGTATATCATAACTCAAAATGTGATATTTTCTTAGTCACTCTTTTATGCTTTAGGAACTGCTTGTTCTCCACTTTGTGTATTAGTGTAAAAGAGCCTGAATATATGTGGATTTTATTGTAAAATCCAACTCCTTGTATGTTACTTGGGAAAGGGGGCCCCCGGAGGGCTTACCTATTTTTCCCCACTGTGTTAACAGACAATTCTGACCCATGGGTTATTTTAGTTTATTTTTAACAAAATATTAGAAATTAGGCTTTAAAATGTTTAATGTGGACTGAAATTTTCATCTTCAGTTTGAGAATCCATAAACTGTATGTATATACATGGCCTAAAGTGAGCGTCTATTTGTTTTAATTCTAAATCAAATTGTTTTGCATCTCTACAAATACTAAATATCCCAGTGGCCTTTTTTCTTTTTTAAACTGATATGTCTATCTCATTCTTTTGCACGTTCTCAGTAAGCAAAAAATTGAGTCTTGTGCAGTCTTCCTTATTAGAATTACAAGCTGAAAACGTGTGTCCAGTTCTTAAAGAGGTTTAGATTGTGTTTTCCACAGAATGATCATTCATGGACTGATTTTCTTTAAGAGAGTTATTCTGTTTTACAATTTCAATTCTAAATTATATGTTTTCTATGCTGCATGCCAAAAACTACCTGTTCTGGGGTAGAGGAAGGAAAAAACTAATATTCCACTTTACTGTTAGAGTTCAAAACAAGTTTTCACTGAGAGCCTTTTCAGTATAGTTTTACAGGTAGACCAGTTTGTTCGTTTTTGAACATTTGTCAGTTAGAGTCAAAATGCAAGCACCATGCATTTGAAGGCTTTGCAGACTAAATGGCTGACTCCCAAACTCCTGAGTCTTCTCATTCTGGAAGTGAGAATATTAAATAGAAACTGATTTGTCCTGTAGTCCCGGTAGGGGAAAGTGAGGAGCTTGTTAAAACTGGTCTTTTCTTCCAATCCAGAGCTTTGAGCACAAGCCACCGTGTGTTCTTGGCTAGTAGCAATCATAGTAAGGACTAAGGACTGTCCATTTGCGGACATAATTGTAACAGAGATGTAAACTTCTTAGCAATCAAATGGATAAATTGTTTGCTTTTTATTTTAAATAGGAAATTGTTTTCTAAAATGAAAATACTTGAATTGACAGATAATATAATCTCAGTTGTGTTAGTTTTTGAGTGCTCCCATTGAGGAAGTGTAATAATCCATGAATGTGAATAAATGGAAAGTAAACAAAATCAGTGTCTGGCACTTGTGTGTTCCTCTGTGACGCATTTGGTGTTAATGCGAGTTAGGCAGACCTGAGGGAAAAGAACCACTCAGCGTCCGGAAACCTCCCCCAATATCAGGAAGGTTGGTTTGGAGGCCAGTGAGAATCCAGTTTATTATCAGAGTCCTTGTGTGCAGGATGAGGCCACTTCCAAACCATTCACAGCGAGGGTTTCTGTTGGATTAATGTTTTTACAAAACAGAATGGAAGTAACAGATCTTTGATGGGCAAGTGTGCAAAGCATTATGCCAAGGGCTTCTTATGTACTGTCTTGGTCAGTCCTCAAAGCAGACTTCTGAGACATGGACTCCAGGGCAGGTTTTCCAAAGAAATGAGTTTAGGGAGGTTGTTTCTCTTGCAGAAGTAAATGGACTTGGGATTTTGTTCAGGTCCATCTCAGTCAAAACCCTGAGCTTGCTTAAGGACGTTTTAAAACAGGATCAAAATGATCAAGAAAAATCTATAATTATTTTGATTTTATGTAACTTCAGTTTTGGTGATTTAGAAAATCACTAGGCATTAACAGATTAAATTCTAATACTGTTATGATAGTATTTTGGAATCGTTCATATTTTTTAAAATTTCCTAAGTTATTCAGCATTTATATAGTTTATAAGAGGTAATTTCCTGGCTAAGAAATATTACAAAGATTTACGTTAGCCATCAAAGTATTTCTCCTGAATTATTAATATCTAGTGGAAACCACTTAAATGACACTAAGAGGATACTATCTGAAGAGTAAAATCATATCTAAACTGCAGCAGCCCTATTTTAAGTACTCAACTGAATGGCTGGGCTGGAAGAGGGGTCCTCAAAGTGTGGTCCTGGGCCCTGCAGCCCCAGCACCACCTAGGGATTTACCAGAAATGCAAAGTCTTGAGCCCCACCCCTAGGCCTACTGAACCAGAACCTTGGGTTGGGGCCCAATAATTATTCTTAAGTTGAGATATAATTTACATACATTAAATTTGCCCTTTTAAAGTATACAATCTAGTGGCTTTTAGTATATTCACAGAGTTGCACATGCTCAAGTTTGAGAACCACTGGCGCACACGTGCTCCCTATGACTCTTGCTTAAACGTAATCTATGAAATACCCTTTTGGCACACTCTGGGGGAAGCAGCAATAATTATGAGTTGCCAGGAACTCTGCCAGCCTTTGTACATAACCTTGTCTCACTTCAACATCATTGCACCCCCAGGAAGGTAAGTGATGATTGATTCTCCTCTACTGTTGAGAAAACCAAGGCCCAGAGTTTAGATGAAGTGTCTAAGGTAATGCAGGCTGTCGTGCCAGATTCACATGGGCTCTTGCCAGTATGCCAGTCAAAGATATGTGCTTACAACTAAACAGGGTTTCTGGAATAGGCCAAAATCCTTTGAGCAAGATTGTTTATTCAAAATAAAATCATTAAAGTTCACTAAGAACCATGGTTATTTAAAATTGAGCAACCTAGTTGCTTTATTAAAGTAAAATTCCAAGATGAAGACCCTTAGTTCACATGTAGGAAAGAAATATCTTGTTAACCTGTTGGCTTATATAGAGGCTGTCAGGAGGCAATTCAATGAAGCTGTAAACAAAGAGACACAAGATCCTTTTTTTTATCATCCCCAGAAACAAGTATTTTCCCTTCCTTCCTCATGTACATTTTCCAGCTGTTCTTGTCATTTTAACAATCAAGCACAAAGTACAGCATTTCCACAGTCAACATGTATATATACAATGAACTATGTTACTGTATGTATTAAGTTATTTTACTTTTCCCTCTTCTCCTGGTATAAGATTCCCAAAGGTTTTTCTTCCCAGTCAGCATTCTTTTCTAAGCTAGGGCATGACAGTTCCTAAAAGTCCATCTAAGATGGGATAAAAGATCCGAAATGGCAACATTAACCTTCAAGAGTAGGCCATTGAAAGGAATGAGGTTATTGCAGGTAGCTTCCAAGGTAGAGACTATTCCCAAATATCTATTAAACATCTTTCAGGTGACTGTTAAAAGAAGGCGGTTTGATCTAGATGGCAAGGAAATCTTTTTTTTACCTGCTAAACCACTATCTTGCACAGTCTGCTCTTGGAGAAGCTGGGTCTGAAAATTTTCCTGGTCTAGTGTTTCTAAGGCAGTGACTGTTTACAAGTGGTGTCATTGGTGTTAAGTCCCATACTGAATCGCTGTATACATAATGAATATGTGTTCCTCTCAGACCCCCTTTTCTCTGTCCCTCATTTTCTATACTGCAGCATTCTAGTGTCGTAGGCCTTCCTTATGCCCATCACTTTGTGCCGTAACAAATACATCCAACCATAGAAAGAAAAGGCCTGTTGTGTGAAAGGTAACTCTCAGCTGCCTCCACCTACAATGAACTTGCACTCTGGAAGGATCAGGCAGAAAGCAGATGTAAGCAGCTGCAGCATACTACTTCATCATAGAGTTGCAAGATAACAAAGACCACCTGGTCCAAAAACCTATCTTCTAGACCAGGTGGCTTATTGGGAGCTTGCCAAAACTTGAACTTGGACTCCTGGCTTTTATTCCAGTCATTTTTCCACTTCTGTGGGGTTTTCCTAAGTGTTTCTCTAGAATAAGCGTGGGAAATCTAACAGTACAACTGAAGGGATATATGCTACTTTATGGGGGCCAAGAGCTAAATAGGACTTAACTTTGCAAATATGGAATCTGGCCAAACAGCAGTCACCAGCCCGCTGAACCCCTCTCAGACTCCTCATTGGCTAACGACTGCCAAAGCCAGAGCACAGGGTGGCTTCTGTCAGTTACACATTCCATCTCAAAAAAGTAGTTTGTCTGAAAGCTCCAAAAAATGTTTAAGGAATCTTGGGGGCAAATTGAGATTCAATCACTAAGTTATCACTTTGCTGTAACATCTTTACAGTATTTAACCTGAAATGCCTGTTACAGAGAAAAAGAAATAGGTACAGATTTATTAGAGAACACAGAAGAAAAATAAATTTAATCTCTCACATGCAAATCAACTTTCAAAAGAAACATGAAATCATAAAGCGAAGCAAACAGCCAACCACAAACATTGCCTAGAAATAACTTCTACTGGGTGTGGAAGATGGTTAATCAAAAATGCTGTTGATGACGTTTATGGAAATATCTCGGACAATTAGCCTACTAATATATTCAATGTATGCTGTCGTGGGTTAAAATATATTTGCTAAAATATATTTTGCAGAAATCACAAGTTAAGCCTCAAAGTAGTGAAAAATCTCAACAGGTTTTCTCTGCAGATTTAATTACTCTCATACATAGAATTTGTTTGGAAACCATAAAAGATTGCTATTTACACCTAAACTGCCTGACCCTCTACTAAGTGGGGGACTAAAGGACAAAAGAAGAAGATAGAATTCTTCGAGCTACTCAGGAGAGTTGGAGGATCACTGTTCTTTTTGATCTACTGAGCTCAAGGACTGGAGTCGTAACAATAAAAATGCCTAATTGCCTTAGGAATAGCAGAAAACTGGAAATACAGACTCGCAAACTCATCACACATCGTGGCTTCCTCCATTTCTGAGGCTCCACCTGCTGAACTCTGAACCCAAGCCCCAGGCCACGCGGCTCAGGTGTGTGGTGTTCCAAGGAGTGCTCCAGGGGCTATTTGTTCCAGATGCTCAGAGAAAGGGCTGGAGGATTCCTTTTTCCGCTGAAGACCATGTCTGTGTCAAGTCAGTCGGTGAAAAGGAAAAGAGAGAAGATCCAGCAGGTAGCCATCACCTAACTTCCAGAGGTCATCAGCAAGAGGGATGGGTGGCATTCTGGCCACGTAGCCAGAGCAGCTCTCCCTTGAAGGGCTGTTGCTGACGCCTCCAATGGCTACTTCCATTCAAGTTCAAGGGCACTGCGTTTTTATATCCCTTTACAGTCTTTGGCTTATGACCAGGGTGGTTATTTTTAAGTGAGAACTAATTCCGCTTTCTGATATAAAGACAAAGTCTGAACAGGAAGAATCAATGTAATGTCAAAAGATACTTGGTTTTTGAAACCAGGTATGAAACCAAATTCCAGCTAAATTGGAAAAATGAAGAGAGAATATATATCACAGTGAAACATTTTAAGTTCATTAAAAAGTTGGGAGATTTTTAATATATAAGCCTTTAAAGAGTTTTGGCCATCAGTTAAAACCCACCATATTATAACACTGTCAAATATATATATTTTTCAAAAGTCAGTTGTTAGAATGAATATACCAGCTGCACAGGGGCTTCCTTGTAATGTCTCTTAGTGGGAAAAAAAACTTTTCCCCTCATTCTTCAAAAGTCTTCTACTATTTGGGATTAAAACAGCAAAAATAGATCCTGGTCTGATTCTGGCTAGATTCTTTGGCGGGAAGGAGGGACATCAGGAACATGCCCGTGTGTCCTACAATCCTCACTGCACACACAGAAACCTCGCTGACTTCTGACGATTTGCTCAGTCCTTAAAAAGCCTAAATGTTAACCACAATGTGACTCATCGGAAAACCCCTCCCACCTCCAAGCTGACTGGACCACAGAACATTTTGCTGCTTTTTACTCTCTTTTGACTACTTCTCTGTTACTTGTGTTTTAAATCATATTCTTATTTTGAAATAATGAGACTTGGCTGTTTTTGTAGGCAACTACAAGTTCCAGACAACAGTACGTGAGATGAACGTTGCCTGAACGTTCGTGTGTGAAAGAAAAGGTGTAGATGGAGACGATGTATCACCTATCAGAATTTAGGATGACGTTTCTTTAAAAGAAAGAAAACAACCCACAACATTCTTTATGTCCTAAGATGTGACACCTAGTTTTCCTCAGGAAAATTTTAATTCCAACTCCCATTTAGGAGAGCTGTGCACACTTTGGTCACCCCCGCATCATACAAGAGACAGGCATGGTTCCAGAAAGATTTAAGATGGCCTTACAAGAAATAAATATGTATCAATACCAGGACACTGGAGGCAGGGCACTGTTTCCAGCCCTGTCATTTGTCACTCTATTACTTTGTTTCTGATGTCATTCATTACTTGGAAAAAAACCTCAGAGTAACAGCTTAGTGCCCAGTTATCAAGTGCCTCTGAGCATGTTTTAAATTCAGTATCAGAAATACTGAACACCTTGGAGAGGACTGAAAGACTGAGCAAGGTAGACCACCGAATGCCTGTCCATCTGTCCCAGGCGGCGGCCCAGTGCGGTGAGAGTGCAGACTGGGCCAGAGGCCTGGGTCTGCTCCTGCCCTCACTACTACTTGCTGTTCAGTTCTGGGCAGTCCACTTAGCCTCTTTGGTTGTTTCCTCCTCTGTAAGATGAGAATACCGATGGTACCTAAGTGCTTACAACAGTGCCTGCACATGACGGTGCCACCTCTGTTAGGGGTAGAACAGACTACTGTGTGCATCTGTTCACGTGCTTTACAAATTGGGGTGTGTCTCTAAAATACCGCCATTTGCACACATTTCCATGATCTGCAAAGCGCTTTCACGCATTAGTGCCATCGGTCCTCACAGTCACCCTGTGAGGCGGGCAGACTTAGATTCACCATCTTGCAGAAGAGGAGTACAGCTTGCCCAGGCCCATTCAGGAATGCTGGCTGAGCCTCAGAGTGGGGCCGAGTTCTGGCTCCAGGGGAGGGAACCTTCTCGTGCTGCTCCCCTCAGTGAACAGAGGGCAAGCCACTGCACCACAGAAAATACATCAGGCCTGTCTTTCTCCCCAGATCCCAGTTCCAGAGTCTTCAGACCCCAGAACGACAAGGGAGAAGTTCCTCAAAAAACGGGTGTATTTTAGCCACCTTGGACATAAACTTGGGAGCAGCATTTGGCACCCCTAGAGAACATTCAAGACGGTGTACTGGAATACTGGGGCACGCTCACAGCTCCCTGAGGCTGTGCTCCAACACTCTGGGCTGTGACCTGATTATGCTACCCCCAGCGGACACTGGTTTGGAACATGAAATCGTGTAGCACTGAGAAGCAATTCAAGCCTGAGCTGGACAGTTAGAGAACATGAGAATGTTCCACCCCCCTGCACGTCATCTTGGCTTGGGTTATTACAAAGAGGGTACAGGGTGAGCATCCCAACAGTCTGACGCCTGACCCAAGCTATGCATGACTGGTGATCGCACCCTGGCCCAGTCATGCGCTTGAACTCTGGAGACTGCAGTGAGGTAGGTGGTATCGGCCCCATTTTACAGGTGGGCAAACTGAGGCAGGATGAAATGCAATAGCTCGCTTTTAATAACATACAAAATCTGGAGAAAGCCCCAAAGTAGTCCCCTGTTCCCGGAGCCTGCAGAATAAAAACAGACAGGAGAACGAACCTCTCCTCTTCCTTTTCTCCCCACAAAGATCCCTAAACACATCATCAGAACCCCTCAAGTATTCCTGGGGACTTCACACACAATACAGTAACAAAGAGACCCAGCTTCCAGTTGATTCCCAGTTGGGTGGGGGACGCCTCTGCTCTTGAGGACAGTGCAGTGTGTGTCATCGCAGCTTGGAGAGGCCGCAGGCAGGCCGGGGCTGGGCAGCCGTGCACACCCGCTGACTAGCCTGGCTGCACAAGCCATCTGAGCCAATTGCTCTTGGCCTCAGTGAGCTGGTCTGGAGAAATGGGACCAGCACACTCGGTCTAAGGAAATAACCTCTAGGAAACCAAGGAAGATGAAACAACATCCCCCCCTTCTCCCCAAGCCCCCAGAAGATGGGTTTTCTACCTAGAAACTTCCTGGGAGGATGCTAACCCCACCAACATCAGACGCCCTTTGGCAGAAATCCATTCTTCTGCCAGGCCACCAAGCCCTCCCACCTACCCTCAGAATCCAAATTCTGCGGGTCACTCTGGCCAAGGCCGAGTGGGATGTCCCCAGGTTGGAGGTGTATATGTTGGCGATGTTCTTTGGCTGGAAGCAAAAGGCCATTCTGGCAGGATCGGGGCCTGTCTGCTCAGCTCAAGGCCTTTCTGGAACTGGGCGTGGGGTGAGGTATTCCCAGCCCAGGGCAAAGCCACCAAATATCTTGTCTCCCCATCTCCCCATGGTAACCTATTGTAACAAAGGGGTAAACTAGGGGAGGACGAGTCGGGACTAACTTGGATGCTGAAGTTCATTGGCGTAGCATTATAAAATCTTGAACTGGTTTTCCTTAAGAAAGCGTTGACAGTTTGACACACTGAGTGCTCCCGGCTGGGTGGTCTCCAACTGGTGTTTGTTGGGATGTGAACACCATGTCGGTAGGTCTGGACACGTTCTGGACGCTGGCTACCCCCTGAACTCTCTCATGGCCTCTTGGCATCTCTGTTCCTCTTTGGGTGCAGAGGGATCTCCAGAGATGGGCTGGGGGGCGATGGGCGGGTGGGCACAGGGTGGGAGCAGAGCCAGCAGGGGAGGAAGAGGCACTTCAGTTTGGGCTGGTGTTCGTGGAGTCGGCCCTGGCCCTGGGAATCGAGTGGCCCCGCCTGGCTCCAGCTCTGGCGCTGGCTTGTCACAGAAGACCCCGGTGGCGGTGGACAGGTAGGCACTTGGCAGCACTCCCAGGGCCGGGCAGGGCCAGGGGCTCCGCACGGGCTCCGCACACAGCTAGGTCATCAGGATGGGCTTCTGCCGCACTTCCAGGATGTCTAGGGCCAGCAGGAGGGAAGCAGACGAGATGGGAGCTCAACAAACACAGCCACGGCTGCAGCGGCTCCATTTGTGAAGGAAGCCCCCCTAAGTAACCCACGCGCACTTCCTGTCCAGCCCTCACCAAACTGCAGCTGCTGTCAGCATCACGACCTTACAGACCCAGAAACGTGCTGGGAGCAGCTGTAGGGCCAGCCAAGGCCTAGTGGAAGCAGGGCACAAACGCAGGCTGGGTGACTCCAGAGCCACTGCCCAGCACCGCCACCATAGGCCATGGCAGCAAGGTGGCCTGAGAACCTCATCTCCCCCATGAGTAACACGCACCCGGGGGGTCTGCAGCCACTCAAGAGTGGACAGCAGGGACTGGCAGGGAGGTACACAAGAGAGACCTTTGGTTCTGGGAAAGCTACAGACCCCACCCCACTACCCCGAAGTCTGAAACAGGGTGACCAAGAACACTCCATGGAAACCTAGCTGACGGGCTCTCACTTGAAATGACAGGATGGAGTTAGCCAACCCCATGAGTGTCCCTCAGGACGCCAGGGCCCAGGAGTCAGGGCGGGCTACAGAGAAGTGAATAGTGCACTTGCACATCAGCCCACATCACCTGTTAGAATCCGATGCAGTGGCAAAGTGACATAGGTTAAGTGTGCATAGAGAAGGAAGTTTCCATCTGCTCTGTTCAGCTTCAGCCAGGAACCCACCAGGGACCGTCCGGTGCCAGACAGGGACCGAGACCGCAGATTGGTTGCATTGTGCAGATCAGCTAGAGGGAAGACGGCCAGGTTAGGACCCCGGCCCCGGGGTTCCCGGGGAGAGCCGCAGGACACCTCCCACTCCAGGCTGATACCACCCTCTGCTGCAGCCTGAGTGCCCCTTACCAATGCCCCCCTCGCCTCCGCTGACAATCACTCACCCCAGAGCTGCCACCTCCTCACCTGTGACATCCTTTCCCCATCCTCCAGGCCTCAGACCACCCCTCACCCTCTCCCCACCCCCGCCTCCAGGAAGACTTCCTTGACTGCCCCCTGATCCCTGCTTCTCTGTCCTGAACTCAGAGCCTCCTCCGAAGGGTCTGGCACATCACCACATTGTGTAATTTGTTTCTCCGTGCTCCATCTGTCACTGGGATTAGGCACTGCCAGTTGCAGGCATGGGGTCAGCAAGGCTGGGATGAGCCGTCCCAGGGAGGCAGACTGGGTGGCTATTAGCACTTTCCTCATGTCCTGGAAACAAGCCCAGGCAGGGAAGGGGCTTGTCACACAACAGCAGGTCAAGGCCAGAGCTGGAGTCTCCTGCCCTGGGCTAGGGTCTTGTCCAGTCAGGCCCCTGCCTCTTGGTCCTGGTGGTCAGGACTAGGACAGCCCTCTCTTCCGTTTAATGCTACAGCCACAGCTCCCTGCTAGGGCCCGGCACCAAGACGCTGCTCAGTCCACACTGTCAGTGTGTCCTTCACTCTCTCATTCATTCAATAAACACAAATGGAGGTGGTGTACCATGCACAGCTTGGGGGGAAGATACCATGCGCAGCTTGGGCCTGAAGACAACAGTGAGGCACACACAGTCCTCAGCAGCACAGAGTCTGCCAACCTGTCTCTGATGGCCACCTTGTCCCCCTATAGTCCAATTTCCACATGGACCACCAAGTCATATCTTGAGTACTCAAATCTGATTTTGTCAGTCCCTTGCTTAAAACCTTCCAGCAGGTTCCCTTGGCTCTTAAGACTATGACTCCTCTTTTCTAGCTGCACAACTCAATGATGAGATGTGGCTGTGCTCATGGAGCCTGCCCTGGGAGCACTGAGAGGGGACAGTGGTACCGAGCACTGAGAGGGGACAGAGGGAAGGTGCAGGTGTGCACGAGAAAGTGCAGGCTGTGAGTGTGCTGGGCTGAGGGGCTCTTGGTTCTCCAGGCAGAAATGCCCAGGAGGCCGCTGGACAGAGGTGGGAAGGCCAGATGGGAGGACATGCAAGTCGTCAGCTCCAGCGGTGACCCTGTCACTGGAAAGTGGTGAGCCCTCAGAAGGCTGAAGAGAACGAGGAGAGATAGGGCCAGGAGAAACCCTGAGGGTCACCCACTACTGAAGGTTCTAGAGTGAGAGTGAGCTGGCCTCAGATGGCATGGAGAAGGACTAAAACCAGGAGAGTCTAAACCAGAGAGTTCCTCTGTCACCACACACTCGCTGCATGTGCAGCAGTCAGTCCACCAACATCAGCTCTTCCTAAGCAAACCAAAAGGCTTTGGAGGTCTACAAACCCCCTGAAGTCATGCACAAGCTGCTACACAAGCATGCTCCTGAGCCCTCTGTCAGGGAGATGCTGAGCCCTGGAATGGGAGCTCGTCCCTGCAGCGGGAAGTCTGTCTGCTCACAGCTCTATCTCCAGCCCCTGGATTAGCACCCGGTAAATGAATGAACAAACGAATGAGTGAATGAAGCACTAGTCTAGATCAAGAGGAGAATGAAGGGCAGAAAGAGGCCAGGGTCACCTCCACCATCGTCCTCCCGGAAGAATTCCTCGCTGTCGTTGGCTGAATGAGACTTCTTCATCTCAGCGATCCGGTTCCGGGGCACCTTCCTTTTGAGGGATGGGGAGAAGAAGGCGGGCCGGTTGTTCCGCTCCGGAGTGGGGGGTGTGCTGAAGGAGGTCACCTGGGAACAAAAGCCAAAGTCACCTGAGCAGCAAGAGTAGCCCCTGTACTGCTGGGGGTCCCAGAGCCCACTCATGTCCTGCCCTCAAACTAAACCTGGCACAGAGTTCCAGGAAGAGAGATGCGGCTGCTCATGGATCCTGCCCTATGAGGACAGGCGGGGTCTAGAAACCAGGAGATGCATCTCGACTCAGGGGCCAGCGGAAAACCTGGCTGCCAGCACTGGCCGAGCAGGAACCAGGCCGCCGCCACAGATGGCCGAGGGGCCCCCTTCCGGCCCTCAAACTCTGCTTGTTCAAGTGCAAAGTAGCACAGCTACTCCACTGCTCGGGCACTTAACCACCGACTCCTACCAACCACCCACGAGATGGCAGCTGGTATCAGCCCCACCTGACAAATGAGGAAACTCAGTGGGACAGCGAGCTCGACTTGGCTAAGGTCACTCAGCAGCACGGTGGCAAAGGTGGGATTGCTGCCCACGTCTTCTGCCTCCTAAGGCCTGCTCCTCACCCTAATCTCTTCTCTCGGCTAGCACGTCTCCTCTGCGCTCCCCACAGCCCTTCATAAGCTGTACCATGGCTCCGCAGCTCTATGCCCCGTCCTCTTCTTTCTCCTCCCTTCTAATCACATTTGGTTCTGTTCACCAGACACTTTCCACATGCACTCAGGGCCAGGCAGGCACAGAACCAAGGACAGACAGGTACGTGACACTGGTCCCTGCCCTCAAGGAGCTCACAGTCTGCTGGGGTGACAGACTCAGAAACGGACAACCACAGACAGCGTGCCAGTGCAGAGAGAGAAGGGGAAGCACGGGATACAAGGAGCACAAGGCAAGAGGATTCTGACAGCCTGGGAAGTCAGGGAAGGCTTCCTGGAGCAGGCGCCGCTGGAGCTGGGTCTTGAAGGACGAGTAGGAGTTCGCCAGGTGAAGAAGGGGGGGAAGGGCGTTCCAGGAAGAGGGAACGAGGCCCATCTCCTCCCTCCTCCCCATGCAAACGAGAATCTGAAGAGCAAGCTGCGCTGGGACCGAGACTTCAGGAGCCCCAGCAGCCTCCTCACCACGGCTCCGACATGCACCAAAGTCCTGGCGGCTGCTCGGCTCCACATGGTCCTCCCATAAGCCAGGAAGGTTTTTAAAAGATAAAAAAACAAACACCAGAAACCACAGTACACACAGAGTCTGCATTTGTCACGCACTGGTTACAAATGACCCCTCTGGAAAAGGACAACAAGCAACAGCAGCACAGAGGGGGTGGTCCCCAGGGCTCCGGCCCTGCCGCTGCCGCTGTGCGACTCTGGCAAGTCCCTCCCCTCGACCTCAGGGCCTCCTTGCTACCAGAGGCCAGGGGCTTTGACACCACTCACAGCCAGGGCCATTGGACAGCGGGGAAATTCGAGACTCGGGCAGGTGGAGCGACGTATCTGCGGTCGCTTGGCAAGCACACAGCGGCTGGAGTCGGCACCCTGGTTTTCCAGCCCAGAGTTCAGGCCGCATCTTCACAGGGACTTCCACGTGCACATTTTGTCAGGGTCCCAGTGGGCCCCTTATCTCAGAAACACAAACCACCTCTATTCCAAAGATAAGAGAAGCCCCTGCCTAAAATTCTTACCCATCTCTGCAAAAAACAGCATTTATTGTCTTTGTTTGGCTTATAAAACACATTGATTATAGAAGATACCAAAAAAAAAGTATAAAAAAGAGAAAGAAAACCAACATCTGACCACCTGGAGATATGCACAGTTAAGATCTTTTACAGAACTGAGAGCATCGTCTCAGGCCCATCAACAGCAGTGGATCAGTACATTCTTGTGACCAGGTAGGCCAACAGCAAGCAGTGGCCACAGCACTGCTGCCTGGGGAACGCCCCTGAGGGCTGAGCCCCCTGCGGAGTGCCTGATGCGCAGAGGCCCCTCTGAGCCCCCACACCTCAGGCAGCAGGTGTTTCCATTCCCCATTTCTAGATGAGGAAAGCGAGGCTCAGAGAAGAAAAGAGACATGTCCATGGTCATATGGACAAGCAGAGCCGATTCCAGCCCTGGATGTCTCTCCTGCACAAGGCAGGGCAAGGCTGCCCCTTGCCTTAGGGCACTCACCTACCCGTCCTCTTCCCAGACTATAGCTCCAAGCAGCCGGTCAGGAAGCCCCAGGTGGAGCAAAGCAGCCAGGGCTGGAGACTCTCCTGTCTGTGCCCCGGGCCTGCAAAACTGTGCTCCACCACAGGGTTCCGGGAACAAAGCTGCCACTGAGTTCGGCCTCCCACCCGGGGCAGGAGAGTGGCCCAGAAAGAGCAGAGCTGTCACACTGGGCTGTGCAGCCCAGCTCAACCCAAGTTAGCCTGGAGAGCTGGTTCCCAGGCCTGTGAGAGGGGAACACTCATGCCTACCCACCAGGCTGCTGCACAGACGCACCTCCACCTGGGAAACACAGGAGCTGGGCTCAGAAAAGAGCCAGGTGGCCCCGGGGCCTCTGCGCTCGGGCCCATCCTCACGGGGCAGTAGGGGAGGCCAGCTTATCGGCATCCCCCTCTAACTCACCAGGGCATGGTGTTCACATGCTGGTGCTCAGCCAGCAGGTCCACTGAGGCAGGCACCAGGGCCAGGCCTGGGCTCGCAGTCAATCTCCTCTGTCCACTGCCTCCATGGATTGGCCTGGCTGCAGGAGCAGCTCTGGCCCAGACACTAACCTGCTGTGTGACCTTAGGCAAGGCACATCCCCTCTCTGAGCCTCAGCCTCCTCACCAGTACCTATCTCACCAGGGGGGTATAAGGATGGGGTAGTCATGGGAAGAGAGTCCGCCCCGCCCCTCGCCATGTAGCCCTCACCCGCTCGTGCATGGGCGAAGCAGGGCTGGAGTCCTCTTCGGTCCCATAGGGGGACGTGTCGCCAGTAGACACACGGCTGACTGCCATCTCAGCATGACCTTTGCCCTGTGGTCCCTTCATGCGCACAAACTCCATGTTGTTGTACTTGTAGAAGCCAAATGACATCTTCTGCGCCATGCGGGCAGCCACGCTCACCTGCAGGCAGGTGGGAGATGGCCCGAGTCAGGTGGGAACGGCTCCATGGGGTCTCTCCCTCAGAGTAAGAGCCACCAGATGACCATCACTTAAGGATCGAGTTCCGAGGGCTGCCCCAGGAGGGAGCATCTGTGCCCCGATGACCCTGGCCATGCCCACAGGCGGGGACAGCGCTGCAGTGTACACTGGACACTGGCTGAGCCTTTCCTCAAGGTAACGATGACCCACACCCACAGCCAGGCCCAGCACCAGGTTGGGGACAGAGTCAAGGGCACTGCCCCCTCCCAGCCCTGGTTCAGGAAAGGCCAGCCCCAGGACGGCACCCAGCTGCAGGAGCACGGCCTGTCCACCTGGATTCTTCTCTCCCTTCAGTTTGGTGAGTCTGGGGCCAGTTTTGGGAGTGTTCTCAGATCCAGTCACCAGGAAGCAGGTGACTTGTGGTGGTGAGAGGGTCACTGCACTGTCAGCTATCCCTTCCCAGGGAACTACAGATTGCGAAGCACTGTGCATAAGGTCCCAACTCACACTTCGAGGGAAGCAGGTGGCCCCAGGGAGCAGAGGCCAGCTATGAAGAGGCAACATAAAGCAGGCCATGGACCACCTAAAAGGAGCCCAGAGGGGCTGAGGGGCCCTGTGGTGGTGATTACACACAGCGCAGGCTCAGAGTGGCAGGGCGGAAGGACAAAGGGGCCATGGAGGTGCCGCCCTGGCCCACGCTCACCCGGTTGTCGTACACCTTCTTGAGGGCCTCATAGCGGATGGAGCCCTGAAAGATGACCCCTTGGAAAGTGTTGGATTTGTCACTGGCCACCAGCTCCACACAGACCATCTCTCCTTCCCCCACAGTCATGTCACTAAACACCTGAGGAGACGGAGACATGAACCACCAGCTGCCCACCACCAAACCACAGCCTGGCCCTCCTGCCAGGGAGGACTGAGCAGAGAGGTCAAGCTGTTTGTCTGCAGCCACCCCCTCTTCCAGCATGCCATCCGAGCCCAGCGGGCAGGTGCAGCCTCACAGGGCAGGGCTGGGCAGCAGGGGGAGGTCCAGACAGCAACCCTGGGGCTGGAGGAGAGGCGCTCCGGCAGGCCGCATGGAGGTGGCGTCCCTCACCACACTTCATGCAAAGGGGTCAGGCAGCTTATGAGGACAGTGCGCCCACGTCTAGGATGAGCTCTGCCTGCCCTGCTTGAACTTCACCCTGCTTGGGTGTGGTCAAAGGCTCAGCAGCCGAACAGGGGAATGCCCACCCAGGAGAACAACACTTGGACTGAGGGGTCCTCGACAAGCCGGACCCCACCCTGCCGCCTTTCTCAGTTACTGCTCCCCGGGCTGGCACACAGACTGTGAGCCTTGAGGTCACAGTCAGATGCAGATCTCAGCTCTGCCACGACTGAGCTGTGTGACCCTGGGAATGGGACGTAACCTCCCTGAGCCTCAGACCCTGCAGGACACGCTCCCTTCCTTCGAGAGTCCTCCCAGGGACCTGACCACCTCTGGATGAGGACAAGGAAGCCAGCAGGGCAGGGCCACGCAGCAGTGGGACACAGCCACTTCCCTCCCCGATCTTCCCAGTGCCCGGTGCTTCTCCAGTGAGTCATGTCTGCCCCGGCCCAGTTTTCCCAACCTGAAAACAAAGGCATGGCCCAGGTAACTTCTGAAGCCCCAACCCTCTGACATCCTGGGATTCCAAGTCGGTGCAAGAGTGGAGGCACTTATTTATAGTTTAAAAGCGACAATGACTCCTCCTCTTGCCTGGGCAGCACTTTCTGGAAGAGTTTATGATGCAGTCTCCCACTCAGGAGTCTTTTGATCTTCAGCCCTGATGGGTAAATAGGATAGGTAATAACTACGCTCATTTTGCAGATGGGGAAACTGAGGCTCAGAGCTGGGCGAACTCGCTTGCCCAAAGTCAAACACTGGGAAGAGTGAGGGCTACGTCTGCATCTGGCTCCTGGCCACCCAGTGCCTTCATGATGCAGCGTGAGGCCTGAGGGAGGAAGTCCTCCTGCTCCCATCCCCTGAGGAGGGGAAGCTGTGGGGAGAAGCAGCCGGCACGAGAGCTCACCTCCTCGAAGCTGTCGATCATGAAGAAGATGTTGGGGTAACTGATCTTGGACTCTTCCCCTTTGCTATCCATGGGGTGCTTACTGGGGGAAGCAAACACTTGCTGAAAGAAAGCAGATATCAAGGACCGAGTGAGGCCCCACCTGCATGCAGGCCCAGAGCTACCCAAGGAGGGGCTGCCAGTCCAAGGCCAGAGAACTGCCGGCCTTGGACTGCACCTTGAGAGCAAATGGATTTCTAGAGTCAGACCCCTCACCCTGAGGGCAGGGAAGTAGGAGGAGGCTTGCCTCCCCTGAATAAACCTCTGGGCTGAGCCGGCAGTTGGAGGGCCTGGGGCTCTCCCACAGAGGCTCACCTGGGATTTCTTCTTATGGATGTGAATGTCCCCCCCATCAGCGCGTGTGCACACCGCACAGGTCACCACGTAGTCCAGCTGGAAGACAGCGCAGGTCAGTGTGTGGGGGGGCATCTGCTGTCCCTACAGGCCGGTGGACAGTCCCACCCCCACACCCAACCACATACCTTCTGCAGGATGAGATTCAGGCAGACGCTCTCTTCCCAGTCGATGTCAGGGTCTCCGAGGCCTGGCAGCTTCTTGGAGTCCCGCCGGTACACCTCCACTTCCACCTCGGGCTCAGCCTCAGCCTGCTGCGAGACACAGGGCAGAGTGAGGGTCCAGGGCCCACTGTGGCCTCTGGGTCTCTTCCTCCCCCTGACTGCTACACTGGGCAGGCATGAAGACGAACGTGGACTCTAATTCTTGCTCCCCAGTTCTACAGCTATGTGACCCAGAGGTCACCCATCCGCCTCTCTGGGCCTCAGTTTCCTCATCTGTACAGTTGACTAAGAGCATCTGCCTTTCAAAGTTGTTGTGATGATTAAAAGAGGTAATATTGCTAAATGTCACTAATGATAATAACATCAACATACATTGAGCTCATGGTGGGCAGCAGGGTCTGGGCTAAAGGTTTTACAAATTATTAACTCTTAACTCCAACAACAACCCTGCAAGGCAGGTATCATTAACCCCAAAATCAAATAATAAATACAAATCAAAGAGGAACCAGATCATTTGTCTATACCTCTCCTGGGAGTAGAGGTGTTAAGGAAAAATCAAAAGTGGATTCTGATGCAGCCTGTCCTGGACGAGGTCAGGAGGGCTGATCCAAGGTCAGGAGGGCTCTCTTGCAGATTCTGACTCTGGGGGTGGCTAGCCACACCCAGCTGGGCAATGCCAAGGCCTCTTGCAGGTGACCAGGCATGTGCACCCAGCAGCATCCACGGAAAGAGGGGCAGGAGGCCAATCTGGCCTGGGAGTGAGAAAGATGTCCCATGGGGGGCTGGGGGCTATCCCTTCCCACTGCCTCTGGTTCTGGAACGTCACCCCAAGATTCTGAGCTGAGTCCTCAGTCCCACGGGACTGTTGCTGTTCTTGGTCTCACTTCATTGCCCTGTTTAGTTTTTTTTCTTCCCCCCAGTATTTATCACTTTCTCTCATCTTATTTAGTCCTCTCCAAGCCAGCTCCAAAAAAGGCACAAAGTATGTGTGCTTTACACATAGTAGGTGCTCAGCAAACCTCTTCTGACTCAATGAATTAAAGGAAAAGTACATGGGCATGCTGCCCAACTGTTTTCAGGTTAGCACCATGGTACACTGGACAAGGCTGCAGGTTGCCCATCAGAAATGTGCCCATGAGTGCACCAAAAAACAGGGCCCAGAAAGTAGTGGGAGCTGCTCAGCTATCCACCCACAGAAGAGTGGACAGACAACTGCAGTACACTCAGTGGAATATTATGCAGCAAGAAGACTGGGCAAATTCTGACCAACTGTGTCAACAGGCCTCGCTCTCTGAAATAAGACACTGAGAAATATATGAGAAAAATATGACTCTGAAATATGACACATATGAGCCACGAGAACAGGCAAACCCGCCCACAAAGTGTGACAAGTCAGGACAGCAGCTCTCTCTGGGGAGGGTGGTAACTGGAGGGGGGTCAAGGGGCCTCAGGTGTTCTGGTCTTGCTCTGTCTCTCGATTTGGGGACTGACACCAGGTGTTCATGCTGAGAAAAACCCGGAAGTGGTATAAGCTTGTTTGTGCATTTTTCTGTATCTATGTTATACTGAAGAAAACCTACCAAAAAAAGAAAACATGAGATTGCCACTCGGAAGCTGTGTGACCCAGGGCAGTTTCCTCCCTATCTCTGAGCTTTAGTTTTTGTGAGTGGGGGGTAGGATAACCTGTACCTCAAGACTGCTGAGGGCATCCAAGTGAGTGACACTGGCAAACGGCAGGGGCCACCAGCACAGAGCAGGCCCACAAACGGACGCCAGTGGCCCTCCCTGCCAAAGACAATCTGGCTGCTGGAGAACAGTGGGCGTTTTGCCCAGGAGTGGAGTGAACAGAGGGAGGGCTGGGAATCCAGGACATCTGTCGCTGGTAAAGGCTGGGCTGGGGATGCCCAGGTAGTCCCTCCAGCCCTGGAGCAGGGTGTAGGGATCCCAGCATCCAGGCCCACCCATGCTGCAGCTCCCGCCCCTGCCCATGCACCCTCCTCCAGCCAGGAGCAGGAAGCCCAGTTGGTTGCTATGGCTACTGGTACCCGCGGGAGGGGAAAAGGAGGGGTGAGAAGCAGCCTGTGCTTGCCGCAAAGGACCTGCAGTGCGCAGGCGCCGCGGCCACGCTGCTTTTCTGGCCTGGCCGGCCGGCTCTCTAGCCAGAGGATCTCCCTGTCTCCCCGCTGGCGCCTCCAGCCCGCCCCCTGCAGGCCTCCCTCTGCACTGTGCCCCGCGAGCTGGAAAAAATGTGGCCCGAGGCCCTGGCCAGCCCCAGTCCTCAAGACGCTGGGCCAGACACCACTGTCTGTCCCAACACGCTGGGGGCTCCCTGAGAATAGGAGCCAGGCCTGAGTCATTTGTGTGCTCACGGTACTGGGGAAGGAAGCATTTGCACCTGGCTCACAGTGGTATTTAATGAAACATTCTAGCATATGAACAGCTGGATTACCATGTGCTCCCATGGGACTCAGGCTTCCCTCACTGACCTCAACATCCTCAAATCTTCAAAGAGTTTGGGCATGGCCTTGTCCCCTCCTGATCCAAATTCCTTGGTCCTAGATCCAGGGCTGCTTTTTCCAGAGAAGGGCTCTCATCTTTAACTTCTCCTCCACCCAAGAAAGAGCCATTACCTGCCCATTCTTTTCTCCTCCTCACCTGGCCTATCCTGGGCACATACAGACCTGTCTCCCATCTTCTGCCTCCTCCAGCGCACCCTCCTGACCAGAGCTGTGACCTCTCCTGAACTGAAATTCAAGCTACTGCTGACAGGGTCTCAGATGTGCCCAGTCCTCATTAAAGCCTCTAGTCACAACAGACTTTGCTCTTGGGGAAAGACCAACATTTCACAAAACAGATTTTCTGCAATCATACCCCAGTAGAGGCTGACAGGCCAGAGAGGCTGGGGGCAGGGGCTGGGGTCCACCGCCGGCACCATCTGGCTGCTCAACCTCAGGCAGACCCCCTGAGTTCTGGTCTCCTCAACCATGGGTGATAGGAGTGCCCATACCCCTGAGCTGTGCTGAGGCCCACATGACAGTTACAGACACAATGAGGCTCCCTGGACACTGGCCACCTTCCTGCCAAGGGCACCCAAGTGGCCACACCCCAAACATTCCAGCCTCCCAGGTGTCCATGACAGAAGGCCCTATCCTTATGGAGCGTCTGCCCTGAGCCCTTTTACGGAAGGAGAGGCTGAGTCCCAGACAGGAGATGACTTGTCACACAAGGCAGGGGAACAAAGACGGTCTAGAAAGCTGGTCTCCTAGTCAGGAGGAGATGGCATCCTCAGGCGGGGAGGGCGTAGTGACCAGGGACTGAGGGGCCTTGGGCAGTCTCTGGAGCACCAGCCATGGCCCTTCCTCAGGCCTCTTTTCCCTCAGCTCCCTCCCCTCTCCTGGCTCCTCCCTCACCTCTCTGGCCAGTCACTCATGGCCTCCCGCCAGTCCCCCCAATGCCAGGCTAGCTCAGGGCTGCATACAAGGCGCCAGCCTGGCAGGGATGTCACCGACACCTTTGCAGCAGGCACCCAGGCCTTACCACTTGCAGAAAACCTGTTCTGCATGTGTTCAGGTAAAGGGCCACAGCTAACAAACCTCGGTCCCAGAGTCACAGGGCACTGAACCTGGAGCCAGGCAGGCTGTGAATTCCAGACCTAGCTTCACGGCCCTCCCATGTTTTGTTTTTAAAGAAAAATAAAGTGTTCCCATGTTTGGCATGTGGGTTGCTTAAACATTTTAAAACTACTAAAGCTCTGAAAAACAGAGAAGGAAACATGCAAAATTAGTTTTATTAACTCCTCCACACACTTAAACTTAGTGGATGAAACACCTCAGATGAGTCACTTCATCTCTAAGACCTCAGTTTCCTCATCTGTAAAAAAAGGGGATAATAACATCTACCCTGTAGAGTTGTTGGGAGTCTGTAACGAGATCAAGAACTAAAGGGCTCAGCACTGTGTCTAGTCTATGAAAAAGTCTCCATAAGTGGAAGTGGACCATCACCATCACCGCCATCACCGCCATCACCATCATCATCACCATCACCACCATCACCACCATCACCACCATCACCACCATCACCATGACCCCCATCACCACCATCACCATCACCCTCATCACCATCACCACCATCATCACCATCATCATCACCATCATCACCACCATCACCCCCATCACCATCACCATCACCATCATCACCACCACCACCACCATCACCATCATCACTATCACCATCACCATCACCCTCATCACCATTATCACCATCACCATCATCATCACCATCACCATCACCATCATCACCACCACCATCATCATTATCATCACCATCATCACCATCATCATCACCAACATCACCATCATCATCACCAACATCACCATCATCATCATCATCACCATCATCACCATCACCATCATCATCACCATCACCACCAACATTAGCAGCAGCAGCAGCATCACCACCATCACCATCACCACCACCATCACTACCATCACCACTACCATCACCATCACCATCACCACCACCACCACCACCTGGACCAAGCCAGGTCACCCTGCCACGGTTGGGGGGAGAAGGGGCACTGGACTGTGGAGTCAAACCTTTGCTCTAGCATTTGTTTACTAATTGTGAGAGGATGGCCCTTAACCTCAGTGTCCTCAAAGCTACGGTGGTGACAACAATCACTGCCCTTCAGGGTCATGGTGAAGATGAATAACAATGGATACAACACACCCAGCACACCCCACAATTAGATGGTACATGTGACCACCTCTACACAGTGCCCAGAATGTAATAGGTACTCAGTAACTACTGTTTAGCCCTTTTGATGTGCAGGAGGACTGCAGGGAAGCTCACCTTGCATACCAAGAGCAGCCACCGCAGGGATGCTCGGGGCACAGAGGTGGGCATTGGGGCTGGAGGGGTCACTCACCTTCCTCCCATCGGTGCTGCTCTCACTGCTGCCCCCATAGGCCAGCTTCCGACGCACATAGAAGAGCATGTCATCTTGCCGGGGGGCCCATTTCTCCATGAAGTAGGTGGAGAACATCCAAGTCCAGAAGACGATGCGATCATCCTTGAAGCACCCTGCAGAAGGAGGCCGGAGGAGTGAGAAAGGATAAGCCACCCTGGTCCTTGCTGTGTGACCTTGGCCAAGCCTTGCCCACCCCCCACCTGCATTTTGGGTCAGAAATCTGACAGGGCTCTGGGGTGCTCTGCCCCTTCTCCCTCACTGCCTCTCCTATTCCCATCCATGAGACATCCAGAGAGGCTCAAGGACACCTCCCACAAGGCCCAATTCCTCCACTCAGCCTGAGATCCCAGCTCCCAGACCCAGAGCTGAGCCCAACTCCAGCCGATGGATGAATCAGCAGCTTCAGTGTAAAAGGAAAAACCTAACAAGACGAGAACGTCACTGGCTGGCTGGCTGGGCGAGGAGCCGGGAAGGCTGTGGAGGGGGGAGATCCTTCAGGCAGGCACCACCCTCCATCCCCCCACCCCACCCCCAGGCTGCGGCACTTCCCAAGGAGAATCTGACTTAAAGGAACAGCTGCCCCTTTGCCAGCCAGTCAGCTGCAAGCAGAAACCCCTCACCCCTGGGCGCTATGGAGCCAAGAGCATGCCAGATTTGCTCTCATTTGATCCTCGCAGGGACTTTTTTTTTTTTTTTAACAACTGCTATCTCTTTATAATAAATATATGTAATCTTTTCCTGCACAAGGAGAAAATGCCCACAGGGTTTGGTAGGAAAGACCTGGGTCTCCATTCTAGCTCTGCCACGTTATTATATGACCATGGACAGGTGCTCAGCCCCTGAGCAGCAGGTTCCTTGTGGGTGAATGCAGACTAAGACTGTGGCGGGAAGAGCCAGCCTGGTACACCCCAGGATCAACGAAGGTGAGTTTCCTCCCTTCCTAGACAGATCCAACAAAATTCCAAAATATGCTCCCAAGCTATCAGCTTATCAACTCGATATATTAAATTGTTGCTGGTTCTCTCTCTCTCCTCCATTTACCATTTACCACTGTGATCTAGTTCTGGTACTCTGGTGCTGGAAGGACCTAATCCCTACACTTGCAGATAGGGAGCCTGAGGGCCAGCCAGGTGCCAGGATTCTCCCTCATCCTCCCAAGCAGTTCAGCGGCCTGACAGGGACCCACCCAGGTCTCCTGACTCCCAGTTCAAGTCCCCTGCTCCTGGGGGTCAGCCATCAGGTTGAGTGTTATGCAGAAAACCCCAGCCTTTGTTTACTTCGGCCACACCTCTAGCCAAAGAACCAGGGCTCAAAACCAGCTCCTGCCCTCAGCCCCGACCTGTGTCCAGCAGCAGTGTGTCAACCACCCACTCCCACACCCTGCCTGGCTCCCAGACTCTCAGGCAGTGAAAGGGAAGAAAAGAGGAGGAGGCTTCATCAGTGAGGGATCTGGACCAGCAAGCCCCGTCGGCTGCAGGAGTGAAGGCCAGGAGAGCCCACAGGACTAACAGGACCCCCCAAAGCTCACAGGCAGTGGGGGGGCCCAGATATGTGCACAGTCTGCAGCGTCGCTTTGAAATTCCTGCGGCACATTTGCAACGGTTGACGCCCAATTCTCACTACAACAGCGGCTCACAGGCAGTGGGGGGGCCCAGATATGTGCACAGTCTGCAGTCGCTTTGAAATTCCTGCGGCACATTTGCAACGGTTGACGCCCAATTCTCACTACAACAGCACCTTGCAAAACTAAGCAAAGGTGCTACGGACATTCCTGGATAAAACTCCGGCCCTTTTTTACTTCCTCTTAGCATTGTTTCAGCAACCTTTTAGAGCCCAAGAGAAGGCCTCTTAGACTAAAATGCTCAAAGACTGCCTGTGCCGACTGCTTTCAGGTCCTGTGATGGTGACAGAAGAAACTCTGGTCATGACAAGCAGGGGGTCATGACTCAAAAACTTGAGGCAAAAGTTTACCACGGTGCCCCTTCTCTGGATGAAGCGCTGCCCTTCCTCAGGTGGTCTCTTTTCATTCTTCAACAGAAGTAACCTGGTGGTGGGGCCTCAGGCACCCAGACCATAACGATGTTATAACGACAATGATAACAAGGACACCAGCAGCACAATTTGTTAAGCATCTGTCATGAGCTGAGCACTGGCCAAGAGCTCCATGTGGGCTATCTCATTAAATTCTCACCCTCACTCTACTGTCACTGCCCTATTTCATAGAAGAAACTGACTCTTGAGACGTTAAAGAACATGTCCAGGGTCACAGGGCTAGAAACTGATAAAGTCCTCAGATCTGCTAGATGCCCACACTCAGACCCTTGAAGCCTCTGTGCTCAGCAACCTGTTGACCAGAAGGAGCTAGATAAGAAGCACAAGCTGTGGGCGGGCAGCCAGCATGCCCCAGGAGCGTGGTCCTCAGGAGGCAGGGAGTCAAGTCCAGAGACACGCACCGCATGAGTCACACCCCATACCCAGCCAGGGCGGACCCAACAGGGTCCACGCAAGGGGTCCCATTCCTGCAATCCAGTGCTGAAAACACTCTTCACAACCCACCCCCTGGGATGCATCAAGTCTCCAGGCCCCACAAGTCTGGCCACTGAGCAGGCTGCCTGCCAGCACTTGCTGTGATAGGGAGGGTCAGCAAGCACAGGCATCCTGTGACCCAGCACCTGGGGCTCCCCACCTACTATGCGCCACACCCTGGGGCCTTGAGAGGGAGACAGAGGCAGGGCATATGTGCAGCATGCCAGGCCCATGTTGGTCCCACATGTGCTCCCAGCTGAAACTCACAACAGCCATGTGACTGTCAGAAAGTCCAGCGAGGACCACCATTGCCACCACCCCACACAAGCTAGCACCAATCTAAGTGGAGCGCACTAGCCACCAGCCTCCACTCCACAGCCAGAGTTTTATTCAAAAGATCCCTTCCTGCCCCCTCCCTTAGAACCTTCCCATCGAATTCAAAATAAAACCCCAAATTCTTAGGAGGCACACTGTGACGGCCCCCCTCACTGTTCCCAGCCACACCGGCCACCTGCCCAGTGGTTGAGGGTCACACTGCTGCCTCAGCAAGCTCATGCCTGTTCTTCCTCTACCTCTAGTTTTCTTCCCCGGAGCTCCGCAAGGCGGCTCCTTCCCGTCTTGCCAGTTTCAATTTAAATGTCGCCTCTTCAGAGACCCTTTCCTGACCCCACATTAAATGTGCCCCAGGGTCCTCCCTCGTACATCCTCTTATTTTGCTGCCATATAGCCCTTATCACCCCCTGGTGTTTTCGCATCAGTATACTGTCTGTCCCCCACTGTACAAAAGCGCCCCAGGAGGAGAGACTTAGTCTTGATCACCATTAGACCCCAGTGCCCAGATCAGTGCCAGGCACATAGTAGGCACTCAATAAATACAGGTTGAATAAGTGGATTATCCTGAGTTAACAGCAAACAAGCTCAGCAAGGTGAGGCGACTTGTTCAGGCCTCCCAACCAGGAAGAGGGCTGGCCAGAACGGCCACCTGAAGCCTGGGCCGCCCACGCACAGCACAGGGTGTGGATGTGCCATCTGCTTTCAGCCTCAGGGCCCTGACTTAGGGCTTCCACAGAAGGTCCAACTGTCGCAGGAGACCCAAGCTGAGCTTGCTTAGCTCTCTCAGGGCTCAAAGCCAGGACCCCACGTGGAAACTGCTGCTGGGCTGCAGGAGTTGGCAGGCCTATTGTGCACTGAGAAAGTGCACGTGGGAGAGAACAGGAGAGTGTGTCTCAACAGGCCGGTCCTCGTGGCTCATCAGGTCCATCGGCTTCCCAACCACTTGCTGCCACCGTGCTCAAGGCACATGCAAGTTAGGAGGCCCAGTGCCAAAGAGCTCTGGGAGAACCAAGGGGCTTGAGGACTCACTGCAAGCTGTAGAATACCATGCAGATACTACCATTAATGTTACTGTTTCGGTACCAGTAGGACAAACCCAGCAGGAGGAAACTCACAGTCTGTCAGGGAAACACATACACACACCTCCCTCATTCTACACAAGGCAGAAGGCCCTACCACAAGCAGGGAGAGAGGCACTCAAGGGAGAAAGGACTGCCAGGACATCCCCAGAGGGGCCCTGTGTACGGCACACTAAGACACCAATGGGACCAAGGATGCTGGACATCTCCACATCCAGGACACTTAACATTTAAAAGCAATAAGAAAGGGCCGGCCCGTGGCTCACTTGGGAGAGTGCGGTGCTGACAACACCAAGGCTAAGGGTTCAGACCCTATATAGGGATGACCGGTTGGCTCACTTGGGTGAGCGTGGTGCTGATAACACCAAGTCAAGGATTAAGATCCCCTTACCGGTCATCTTTTAAAAAAATAATAATAATAAAATAAAATAATAAAAGCAATAAGAAAAATCACAAAGGAAATAGCCAAGAGCTACCTCCTAAACATTCAAACCTCCCCCATGCCCAAGAGAAGCATAACCCAAATCAAGCAGAACAGGAAAACGTGGGGAGGTAGCCCCACAACAGATAACTGACATCCATGGTAGACAAAGGGTCCACATCAGAGCAGGTTATAATAGATACGTAAGACCCCAGTAATGAACAGGTAACATACCAAAACAGGCGGTGTACCAGGAAGGAAACACAACTGGTTAATAAAAAAGTGGGAAAATATTAATCTCACTAGTAACCAAAGATTCTTATTAAAATACCAACTTGTCATTTTTAGGAGAGCAAATGTGGTCTTGAAAAAATGCCACATACGAAAACCATCAGATTCCTATAAAGTTAAACATATAATCACCAAATGATTCAGCCACTCCTACGTACAAGAGAAGCGAAGCATTTGTCTACATAAAGACTGGTACACAAATGCTCATAAAGCTTTATTCATATCAGCCCCAAACTGGACACCAGGGAACGGACACATGAAAGTGGGGTAGAGTCATTCATGGCATATTAGTCAGCAATAGAAACAAGCTACAGACCCACCCAGTACCATGGCTAAATCTCAAAACCATCATTCAGAGCCACACGAGTCAGGCTTAGAAGGCTATAGACCATATGATCACATTCACATGACGTTTCAGAAAAGGCAGAACCATAGTGACAAAAAGCACTTGATTGTAGTGGTGGTTTCCAAGGTGCATCCAGCCATCAAAACTCATCAGACTGTTCACTCTACATGTATACGGTTTATTTTACGTAAATTATACTCCAATAAAGCTGATAAAAAGTTAGAGCTGATTCTAACAAGGGTGCACTGAACTAGGATGAGACATATACACTAGAGAACAAAAAATCACTACATTCTTTGTGAAAAGCAAACAAGCATTTCTCACTTCCATGAATCCACCTTATGGAAGAGAAATACAAAATACAAAAATAAAAGCCTTATGCAAAGACATT